CTCTATTATTATTAGTTTATTCAAATCAAAGGTTCTAACCTTTGTCCTTAATACTTTAGATGTGATTTTTTAATCAATCCCCAAATATTTTCTCAATTGATTGAAAGATTTCACTCTATTTGTATTATTGAAAGATGATTGTTATCATCTTTTTATCTTTGTATTATTATTTGATATTTGACATCATTTATTGATGTTTTTTATCATGATTGGTGATCTAAAACCAATTGTTGGTGATCTAAAACCGACAGATCAACTTTATGTTGATTAGAAGGTATCTGATACCTTTCCCTTACTATTAGTAAGGCAATATGTACTGAACATACCTCTTTTCTCATTCTCGTTTTGATTCGTAAGTGTCAAGACGGTTGAGTAGGTTTTTTAATTCTTAACTTTTTGGTTTTTACCGATTTTTTTTTCCTACAAGAGTAGGTTTTTTTATATGGGAGTTGTTTCTCCAAAAAACAACTTGGTTTATTGTCAGATTGCTTTAATTTAGTTTAGTTTTTGCTTTTTGTTAAGAAATCATAGTATGATTGTATTGATTAGTTTATTTAATTTCTGGACCTGCTGAATAAAGCTTAATGCCTAAAAACAGCAGTAACCAGGCTACAAACTACCTAAGAATAGGTAGAAGTTGTAGTGTGAGCTTTATATCCATTAGTTTATTTATTGTTGGTTTTCTTTTAAGAAACACTTTAATAAGGGGCACTGAGATGTTGTCATAGCCAGCCATGGAGTTTTTAGTCTTCTTGATGGTTTTTCCTAAATCTTTAACTGAGATATGAGTGAGTCTCCATGACTTGAGTTTCCTGTTTTTGTTAATGTCAGGGAGGGCTTTGGTGACTTTTTGTGTTGTATTGCTCATGTCTTCGAAGTGTTTAGAGATGGTTTTGTTGTGGTTGTGTTTGACAATGCCAAGAATAGAAGAGCATGATAGTTCCTTTCTGAATGCATAGGAATAGGGGTATTTGGAACTAAGATTATTCACTCTTTCCATAAAAACTTTCTTTCTATTTGCCAATAAAGTACCAATCAAAGAGTTAAGCTCTTGTTTGGCTAGCTTGAGTTTTAGTTCTACATTGTTGGAGCTAAAGTTGCCTTCTAAGAATTGAGCTGTTATATTGGATACTCTTTTGTGTCGAGATAGTTGTTTGATTTCAAAGATATACTTTTGGAGTTGGATTATTCGTTTGTTGTTTGTGATGAGCTTTGGTTTATCATTAACCACTTTTCCATATTGTACTGTGATATCTTGTAATACTTTTTGGACCTCTTTAAGTGTTTTGGGACTTTTGGTTAAAAAGGTAGCATTGATGGCTTTGGAATCTCTAGACAAGACAGTAGCTGGTATAGACACCTTGTTAAACTTCTCTGGGAAGTCAAAGTTGTTAGCTAAGGTGTATGAGATGGTGAGCAATTTGTGGGCATGAGGTGTATCAATGTCCTCACAGTCTACATGGTCAGCATGTGTAGATATAATATGGTCCGGTCTTGAGAAACCTTGTGACTGTTTGTTACGTTGTTGGTGTGAGGGGCGATTGATAGCTGGTGCTATATCGAAGAGCCTAAGGGAATTGCAAAACTCTGCAAGTTGTTTCTCATGTGGCCCATGATAAGTCTTGGTGTAGGTTGTGGTTGTGGCATTCAGATCACCTAATATAATCACTCTCTCATTGTGAAGCACTGAGGATTGGATGATAGGTGTAAGGATATTGATAGTGTTAATCATAAATTGTTGTCTGTTGATGTTATAGTCATTTGCAGGTCCGTACCAATTAAATATTCTGAGGACTCCCAACTGTTTATGCTCTAAAATGAGCTCAGTGATTCTGCCAACAACATGCTCGATGAAAGTAAGAACTTTCGTGAGTGGGGATGGTTTTACAATTGTAGCAACGCCTGCTCCTTTGTCAGTCTCTGGTGCGTTGGAGGTAAAGACAAGGGAAGGGTAAAAGAAGGATCTGAAGTGTTTGTTTTGCCAATAGTGTTCACTAAGGGCCGAGCTTGGTAGATGGGTTTCTTGTACATTAAGTACATGTATTGACTGGTCTTCAATAAATGAAAGCATTTGGGATTGCTTTACCCATCCAGTACCTGCAAAGTTAGCAGTTGCTAACTTGAAGGACAAACCAGTGTTGCTCATATTAATACGATCTTCTACGTCTCTGACGGTTACTACTATTACCCTTACGTTCTTGGGCAGTAGGTTTAGTCAGAGAGTTGAGTTTGGTGTTGATGGTGGCTACAGTGTCTGCAAGTTCAGAGATACTGTCAAGTATGTCCTTAATCTTAAATCTAGCTACAGTCTTATTGATCATGGACATGGTGGTGGTTAGTTCTGATATTTTGGTTTCCACATTGGCCATTCTGTGAGCAATAGATTTGGCTACCTTGGCAGAAAAGGACAGGTTTTTGAATGCTTGATTTTTGACCTTAATAGTTTCAGTTACATTGTTCGTAATTTCTTTTTTGTTGATACTGAGATAGGCAACTTTGTTATTAAGGGTAGCTTTGACAACACGTACTTTCCACTGGGTACTGACAGCACTGACTAGCTTGTACAGGTCTTTTTCTTTACCAGGAAAAGCAATTCTAAATATGGTTTCGTCTGTGTTGACCTTGGAAAGTTTGAAGCTTTTAGAGTCTGCCGTGGATATTTTAGCACTAGTTCCCATAGCCCAATATTCACTACCATTTCTGTTACTGACGTTGAGGGTTACTATGGTAGGGCCAAGTTTTTTAACCAGCTTGGAGATGTTGCTTGCATTGAGATCTTTGCCAATTTGGTATTTGTAAGCTGTTTTAGTGGTTTGAGCGAACATTGGAATTTTGGCTCTGGATGCAGCAGTAACTGCAGAGGTTAGCAACTTGGCGTTTTTGAAGAAAAGGATTATGCAACCCAAGCTCTCAACAACTCTCGATCCATATATTGAGTCGTCCTTCATACCAATGGTGTCAAGGATGGCACTGACATTGTCAGTGGACACCACAACAGCTCTGTTATAACGATGGTGTCGTCTGAGCTTATCAATAGATCTCTCTTCCATAGAAATGTCACTATTGCGATCCGAGTCACCATCTTCAGCAATAATGCTGGTGCCATCAGCTGGACCCGAGGCTTCGGAAGCAAATACCTCAGGGGAGGTAGGATTGGTTGATGGAGTGTCCCTGGCCTCTTCTCTAATAGCATTCCGTTTCTTTGTGGCTTGTTGTTTGTCAATAGCAAGAGACTTATTACTAGTATGTTCCGTAGACGCAGCCTCCTTGAGGCTGTGAGGATGTGTAGTTTGACGGTCATGATTTGACTCCACTTCCGACGAAGAGTGAATCCCTTCTGAAGGAGAGTGATTACCTTCTGTTGATAAGGTGGTATTCGTATCAGACATTTTTTTGAAGGCCCATCGCTTTGATAAAAAATGTTACAACCACCAACCCTCCGAACCAATGTTTCCTCTCTATTGCAAACGAATAGCAATGCTAGTGGGGGTGGTATAAATAATGTGATTGGTAGCAGTAGTAGCAGTGTGGTGGGTTCTCTTCCTCCTTCAAAGGATTCAAGTGTTGTAACTTCACCTCAAGATTTGGAAGATTTGATTCATCATCACCGAAGTGAATCACCTTCATCACCAATACATCATCAGAGTGATGCATTATTGTCATCTTCAATAGTGGAAATTAAAGACACTTCACAAAGCCTTCAGGAAGTAACGACTTCATCACCCGATGATATTTCTGCTCTTGTAGATTCCTTCTTTTATAATAATGGGCCATCAAGAATGACAGAAGGAAGAAAGGTATTCTTGTTTCAAGTTTCTACAATAATTGGAACATTTATCTTCTTCTTGTTTTATCACTTTTTATATCAATTCATAACTGCAGAGGATGAATCGACAAAATCGAGTTTGTGTTGGTTATTGTCATATTCACTTTCGATATGGTGTCAATATGAATTACATTGTAGAATTGTTTTTGGAAAGAGGTCAAATTCTGAATATTGGCGATCTTTGATTAGAACTTATTTTGTTTATGGAATTTCAATGGTATTTTCAACAATTTTGAATTACATGTTAGTTGGATATTTCAAAGTGGGGCATACTTATGCTTGGATTTTATCATTAATTCTTGTTGGAATTTTGAACTATTTTACTGTGAGCAAATTTGCATTTGCTGACTCGGAAGAAACATTGTAATTTTAGAAATTTAGAGATTGTATACTTAATATTAATATATTAAACTATTGGAGATTATAAGCTTAATTTGATAATTGAGAATTGATTTATTCTCATATATTTTCTTCATATTTAATCTCATTCCTTAGAAACTGCGCCATCTGAACATAATCTTCAAAAAAATATCTTCAACTTTTTTTTAGAAAAGCTTTAGTTTGAATGTGAAAGAATTAAATTGTTTCGCCTCTTGATCCAGTTCACCATTGAAGCTGCTTTACAATTTGGATAAGAAACAATCCAAATCAAATATTAATTGTCAAAAAGATGAGAAAGGGAGAAAATTTCAACAAGTTCAAGAACTGATTTGGAACTACTCTTATAATCTTATTAGTAATCAATTACTGACTTAGGAACATTTAAGAGCTCAGTAATAAAGTGGAAGGACTCAAAATTAGATATGAGCAGGCTATACGAGAACTCTTGAGCAAATATTCATTGATATGAACTTGTACAAGTGCTAATAATAGTAACAATATTACAAAAAAATGGAAAGTCTGATCAATGCAATTCCAACAGAAGTGTTGGAGGATGTTGTGTGCTCCTTTTTGGATGTAAAGTCTTTATTCTCTCTATTGAAAATCAACCGATCATTGAGAAGTATTCTCTTATCTTCGTCAAGTGTTTGGGAAAATTCTCTCCGATCAATGATTAAGCATCAGGAGGATGAATTTAAATTATCGGAGAAGGAGCTAAATGTTGGACGAGTGATGAGAAAATTATTTGATGAATTTTCATTGCAAATTAAAGAATTTAAGGAGAAGGATACTATGAGTGGAATTATGAACTATTTGCAAGAGGAAGAGTTTCGTAAAGTGTATGACGATCATCAAGAGAATGCCTATTTTTTCTTGGTTTGCTTGTTTAAGACTTTTTCATTTGATAGATCTGGATTTCCAATATCAATTCCTTCTTATATTAACAGTTATGAGCATGAAGCTCATCATTCGTCTGTTGATTTTACTAATAATGACCATTGTTTTCATTCATGTCATAAACATTTGAATGGTGATTGGGAAACTTGCATAGTTGGAAAAAAACTGATGCAAGAATTCAGATATTTCTGGGCTATTCATTTGACAAATTATCACAATGAAGGTTCAAATGCCTGGGGAATTGTTATTGGAATTGATGATAAGGAGAATCAAAGCAGAAATTCAACCAGCTCTGCAATCCATTATTATATCGGAAAGGAAAGTTCTAATGGAGTGGGATATTGTGTTCATTCTCACTCTAAATCTTATAGGGGGCAGTGCGAATACTCCAGAGCAAATAATAATCAAGAGGGAGATGTTATTGGTGTGGAATTTTATCAAAAAGGTCTGGATGTGAATATGAAATTCTATACTTGTTTTGGAGATAGCATTGTAGATTATCAATATTCGTTGGCTAAGGATGTTGTAGGTTTCCAACCTGCTGTTTCGATTGTTTCAAGAATGGTAGTCTCAATATTGCCATGGGATGGATCAGTAGAAACATTAAAAAAATTAGCATAAACTTGATTATCAATTAACAAAAGGCGACTGAGGGAATTGAACCCTCGACCCTCAGTTATCTCAGCATTTCTGCCTACAAGACTGATGCACTGCCACTGTGCTAAGCCGCCTTACGTTTTTTGTTCACCAACACCTTTTGTTTGGGTACTTAATTCCAAATGTACTGGTTGAATTCTAAGTCATTGCTAGAACTGTTGAATGTGAATAATAGACCAAGCTATTAATTCCAAATCCTCAAGGATGCCCACAAATTACACCAGCGAGTATAGCTCACAAGTGTTTTACTTTGACAAACTATTCTTTATTATTTGAAATTTGTTGAAATAAAAACTCAAAGAAGGTGCATGAATTAAAAGATGCTGTTAAATGCTAAAGACAATGCTCTTCACTTATTTTTACTTGCTTGTACAAGAAAAGCCAATTTTGAGACTGAACTGCATTGATGAAGTGATCATGATTTGTAATCACCCTAACATTTCCAAAGTCAAATTTACTATTGTGCAAAAGGATACAGCGAGCGGGGCTTGAACCCGCGACCTTAAGCGTGTTAGGCTTACGATCTAACCAACTGATCTATCGCTGCTTACATTCATTATGAAATGTAATTGTCATAGTAAATTCTTAATAAAATTAGAGAGCATATTCATATTATTTTATTTGCGATTATGATACATTCCACGTTTATCTGAGTAATCATTAAATGTAATGTGGTGATAATTTTTTGTGGTTCCAAATTCACTTGTCAATCACATGACAAACGACATCCAAAATCACAAAAATTTAAAAAAAATCAATCTAACCATTCCACTCATCCTACCATACCCTTCCCTTCACACACAACAATCAATTAAAAATTTAGTGTGTGATACAAACCACCTACAAACAACAACAGTAACTCTACAAATTTTCTCTCTTTGAAATTATGGCGCCAAAAAAGAATACATCAAAGAGTACTTCCGCGCTCTCTCACTCGCAGCAACTGACGATTCAGGCTGCTTCTTCATCATCTTCGGCGCTTCATCACTCACCAAATAATTCCCCATCCCACTCATCATCAAACATTGGTGGTAGTAATAATGGAGGTTTTAATAGAGAACCTTTTAATGCTCTTGCCTACCAACAACAATTACAATGGAATGACGATGATGTCAATGGAAATTTCAATGAAATGTTAGTGGAAATGGGAGTACCAGATAGTATCAGAAGAAAACAATTGGCAACTAAAACTGTACAGGAAAAAGTCAGGTATGTACTCTTTGGATATTATATTTAAAATGTTTCATTACAAACTATTACAATATAATCATGTTAATACAATATACTCAATAGACGTTTGTATTACTTTAAAAACGATAATGATCAAACTGCTGATGAGGATACTCCTTTCGTACTCCTTTCTCAATGGGAAAAACACAATTATGATTCTGCACGTTTGGCTCGTATTGCTGAACTTTTGGTTGACAAGCCAATTCGATGGGTCAACCAATTTATTATGCAAGGAGGTATCAAACATTTGATCCATTGTTGAATATGACCAATG